GCCCCCGCCCCGCGTCCCATTGGCCGCCCGGACGGCGCTCAGCCGCAAGGCACGACGGGGGATGTAGTTCTCGCCCGCCGGGCCCGGTACGCCGCCGCCGCCGCGGCGGTCAGCGCGGCGGAGACCCGCTCGAAGGAACCACGCACTTGAAATACAACGTCCCGTGGGGACGCACGGCGCGTCCCCGGGACGGTAAAACCCGCGCGGGGTGCCCCAGCGCCCCGGGACTCCAGCTGCCGAGACCGGGGCCGCGCGCTCTTCGAGCTGTCGGGCTGCGTCCCGCTCCTCGCCACGCAGAGCGGCCAAGCCACAAAGAGCTGACAAACCCGCAGGGGCGAAGGTGGCGAGAGGACGGCGGTGCCAGCAGCCCTGGCGGGCCTCGCCGCGTTTACCGGCGCAACGACGGCGGCGGGTTGAGCGACGAAGACACCGGCGGGCGCTGAGCGTCGGGCACGGGCAGGCATTCCCGCCAAGCCCGGAGCGTGCCGAGGCGTCGTCCGCGCCGCCGCACGGCTGAAACCGGCCCACCAAACCGCGCCGTGCCTTCACATCGCCGTCAGGAGAGACGGACGGCACTGCTGAGACGTACCGCGCGCGTTTAATTATGGCTGGGCGGCACGTGGCCTGGGAAGAATCCCCATCCTGCCGGAGAGATTGTAGTGTGCCATGCCGACGCTCAGTCTAGCTGCTGAGGTCTGGTTGGATGGAGAAGGAAAACGCTGTCATCCTCAGTAGTTTCTACTCCTATTTTGGCTGAAAAATTATGCATTGATATGTTTGCAATTAATTCCCCTCCTCCACAACCCTCAAGTCTTTCTTTTGCAGAAGAAAACACAACTGCAGAGCACACAATAAATCTTTCCTGCAGCAAAAACATTAACGTGCAAGGAAAAAAAAAAAAAGGAAAATGGAAAGCAAGAAAAGCACAGAAGAATGGAAAGTAAGCAAGATGGGAAGATAAGATGACATCTGTTACCAGGAAAAAAAACCAAGCCAGGTAATAAAACAAGAAGAATTAGGTGGAGAGAGAGACATGACCCAACGTGAAAGCGGAAGAGATGTGAGCTTTACGAGTCACTGAGCAAAGGCTGTGCAGTGATTTCCAAATTCACAGCATTTCCCACTGCCCAGAAAGCAGAGGCTTGGAGCCCACAGTGAGGAGGCGTTTTTCTTGTCAGGGGCAGGGGGGCGGGAATTGCTGTAATAAAGTGAATTTTAAAAGCAATTCCCCTCCTCCTTAAACACAATAAGGCAGCAAAAATGGAGGTGACCTAGAAAAGGCTTTCTCTCCCTCTTCTCCTCCCTTCTGTAAATTCTAAATGCTTAACATTGAGCATTAGTATCAAGGTTAATGTTAATATGTGGGGGGTCCTGACGTTCCTGCTACTGAAGTAGTCAAGGGATGAGAATGTATTTTCCTTCCAATTCCTTTTGACAACCAATGAATGTTCTGACAGGAATTACAGTTTTCCCTCCCTTTTTCTCTTGTTCAGTTTTCTTCCACATTACTTTTCCTGCTCCTGAGAGTTTTTACTGGAAATGATCTGTTGGTTGGGAAACTGCACGCAAAGCTAAAGCTAAGCGCAGATGAGGGAAGCACCACAAGAGCAACCCCGCCTGTCTCAGCCCGAGGAAGGCTGGATGATCCGTGCCATGGCCAGCAGAGCACACGGAATAAGGGAAACATAACCCGTTTTTCTTGCCAGGCACAGGGACTACAAGATGTAACCAGCTACCAGAAGCACACACAATCACGGTAATTAGCGACCATTCCCAGGATCACCACTCAGACTGCGCTGATGAACCCGTGGGTACTTGACCCCAGCCCTCGGAACGAGTGCTTCTGTTGCTCTGCGGGCACTTGGGACCTCACCGCCAGACTCGACATTTCCAGCTCCAGGAGATCATCGTGCGAGGTTGAAGCCAGCAGGCGACCACAGCTCCATCAGTAACAGACCCCAGCATTCCTTGTACGCCACACGCTCGAGTGCTTTACAATAACCCCAAAGATGTACGCAAGAGAAAACAATATTCTTGAACAATCAAAGAGGTGGTGTGTTCTCCCTGAAGAATGTTCCCCTTTAAGGGCAGCACACTAATGGCTTCCAGAAGCTGTGCCTCAAATCGTGCTGCCTGCGTGTTTCAGAACAGTTCAGAACCGACGCCAGTTCCTGGACAAACAATCTGTGCCCGGTGCCCTTCCCAAAAAGAAGGGGTGGCGTGCTGAGGGGGCTCCGAACAGCAGCGCAGAGGCTGCAGCTTGCTAACAGGGCTTCAAGCAAGCAGTGTCGAGGAGGGGCTCTGACCCCTCACCGCTTTAGTGACTGTCCTAAAGGCCCAGTGCTTAACACAGCGAGGCAGCATCCATGTAAAAGTCTCCTTCGAAACAGGGGTGCCTAGCCCTCGTTCATGCAGGAAGAACTCTTGAAGACATAATCTAAGTAGGTTAAAAGCACGGTTTTGGAACACTGTGAAAACTAGGAGGTAAATAAGCACATCCAACAGACTCTGGTCTGCACTGTCTTAGAAGCCGTCTCACAAATCCACATGGAAAGATATCTCTGAGGAGACGAAATCAGCACTTCCAAGTTGTTGAAAGCTGGAGCACTAGTACAGTAACGCAAATCTCCCACTCTAGCATGACGAACTAAGGACACCTTCTTCAGCTGGGTTCAGAGGACAGGAGTTTGTCTTTGCCTGCTCATCCAGTTTTAATTTCCTATTCTGTCACTTCCTGAAGCAAGAACCTCTCCCGAGGGAAAAAAAGAAAAACAAAACAAAACCCTCTTCTGCAATCCTGGGGGACATGGTTTAGCAGAACCAACTCTGGCAGAATAAAGCACACAGGAACTAAATTTTACTATTACATGGTCTGCATTAACAATGCAGAAATGTTTTTGACAGCAAAAAAGTATTTGGGTTAATGGTGGGGTGGGGTTTTTTTCAGAATGTAAAGGACTTTGAGACCAGCCCTTTATGGGAAATGTGCCTTCCAACTGACAGAAAACACAGCAGTGCACTGAGAGCTCTGCTGGCAGACCTCGGGAGCTTTCCGCCCTGTTTCTTACCCATCTTTCCCAATTTTATTTTCTACTTCTTAAAATATTGTTCATCTGTTTAGGCGCCTGTTAGCGAAGTTGTCAAAGGGTCACAAACCTTCTTCGTTGTAGGCAATAAAATGTTTTTTTCCCCACTAGTCTCTCAAACACACAAGACGTTTCGAGAGACCGAGTCTCCTGTCACCTACCGAGAATGTTTCTCCAGCTGCCTACATGTTCCATCAGATCCGCAGACCCACAGCATTTGCCTCAAACATGTCAGGGCTTGAAACTTCCTTCTGACACCTAATTCCATGCAAAGCTGTTCTCAGGCGATAACACACAAAAGAGGACTCTACCCTTACATGCCACGTCGTACACGCAGCTGCTCAGAATATGTTCTGCTCTATATATAGATACAAACTGCAATCACCTAAACGGGAACCTTTCACGTAAAAGCAAAGTTTTGCTCCATACAAAAAAATGAAGGGACACCATCAACGTTTTGCTGGATAGTGTGGGCTAGCTAGCACGGGCTGCCGAACTAACTGCCGGCAGCGTTTTCCCTTTTGAAAACCCTATAAATGCACCAGGAAACATCCTACGTGGCCACTGATGAAACGACGTCAGTGTGCGAGTTAACTGCTTAACAAGCTCTCCTACCTTTCGCCAGGACTCCAGCCAAGCCTTTGCGGGACGCAGCAGGCGCACAGAGCAGAACCAGAGATTCCCTTCCAGCCAGGAGCCCGTCTCCGCGCATGGCTCCCCGTTTCTCTCCCGCTCTCCAGGTGCTACATAAATAACAACAAAAAGGGCGCGGGTGACGATACATCACCAGCGTCGCTCCTCCGGCCTCACTGTTTGGGCAGGAGTGCTGCCGATCCTGGGAGAGCGCCAGGGCAGCCTGCAGCAAAACTGATGAGAAGTGAGATAAAGAGCGGGAGGCGGGGGGGTGGACATATAGACGGGGGTCCCCCCTGCCCCTGTGACCTCACGGCCTGCGCCCGCTCCCTGCTCCGGGCCGGGAGGAGGCCTCCCCTCAGGTCTCAGGCCCAGAGGCCGCCCCGGTCGCTGTCACGGGGCTAATCTCCCCAGGCCGATGCCGAGGGCGACCCCTCCTCACCCTCCCTTACGTCACGAGCAGCCCCACCGCCTCGCGATGGCGTCACGCACCGGCCCGTGACATCACCCGCCAAGGCCCGCCCTCTCGCACGTCGCCGCCGCCGCCCTCTCGGCCAATGAGCCGCCCTTCCTGAGGGCACCTCGGGTCAAGCCCCGCCCCGCCCTGCTCCCATTGGGTGGCCTCCGGCAGGCTCGCAGTCCTGCTTTCTGATTGGCTCCTGCCGAAGGGGCTGTGACGCACCGCGATGGAGCGACGGAGAGAGAACCATAGAGCGCCGCTCGGCGGGCTAGACCGGCGCGGGCAGGGGCGCGATGGGACAGCCCGGGAGGACTGAGGCCGGCGGTGAGCAGGGCGGGCGGTGAACGGGCCGGCACTGGCACCGGCACCGGGAAGGAGTAGCGTGGCTGGGACAGCCCAGCCGAGAGGGCGGGGAGGGACCGGGACCCGGCCCTGCCGGGGGAACCTGCGGGGAACACCCCGGTGCGGCCTCAGCAGCCGGCGGGCCCTGTCCCCCGGCCAGCCCGGGGCGACCCGGCCCGCCGCGCCCGCTCACGTCTCCCCTCGCACCCACGGCAGCGGCACCGACACCGGCGGGAAGGTGATGCGCCAGAGGCCTGGCGGGCCCCCCCAGGGCCCGTCCCGTCCCCCCCTGCCCGGCCGCCTCGCCGCCCGCTCCCCGAGACCCCCCGGCCGCTCACCGCTGGAGATGAGGGTCCCTCCGCTGTCCGCGTCCGGCCGGAGCCGATGACTCCGTGGCACCCCGGCCCTTCTACCGCTGTACCATGCTCCTGGCAAGGGCCCGGTTGAGGTAAGCGGTGGGTTGAGTCTGACGGGTGCTCCGTGCCGCAGCACCTCGGGGGGGGGCAAGGGGGCTGCCGGGCCTGAAAATGCGTTTCTTCAGCGGTTTATTTACGGTGCCGTTCCCATGTTTGCTGGTGTACGCGTTCAGCGCAGTACCCACGCTTTGAACTAGAGCGCTTACTTCTACAAAAGATTCCCTGGCTAAACGTGAGAAGCACAAGGCTTGATTTAGCTAACACTAAGGGACTTCAGCAGCTGTTGGAATGCACAGCAGTCTGCGAGGTCTTAGCTTTTTTTATAAAGCTATCTAACCGCTTGCCTCTCTCCGGTGTACAGCCTGTCTTTTCCAGCTGACGCAGGCAATACACAGAACTCTGTTCTAAACGGTTGGCGAGAAGAGAAGGGGCTTTGGTTTTTCTTTGTTCGCAGCTGGCAACTTTCAGCCAACACAATTGACAGAAGGGCTTCCTAGGGCCAGTCTGAAGTCTTGAGTTATTCTCCCCCAAGAGACAGGTTGTTAGCATGGGACAAATTCTCAATATTTTATCCATTGCTGAGGGATCAGAATCTCAGATACTGAGGCAGCCACAAGATCAATTTCACAAGATTAATGTGGCACTGAGAACATTAATTTGTACGTAATGCCTGGGTACCTTAGCCACAATGCGCTCTCACTTGCTTACATACCTCTCCAGTTTCAGAGGCTCCCATCTTCTTGCGCACTCCAATTCTCCATATGCTCCAGCAGTTGCTTTTGTCCAACTAGTGGATTCTCATTTAAACCGGACTTGCATAAGAGACTCTGAAAACCAGCCACTGCTGCACTCCACACGGTCGGGCACCTGTCTACCTCACTCGCCAGCTGAAGTTGTGCGAACGTTTCACACGTCCGCCTGCTTGCGTCAGCAGCTCCGAGATGAACCTCCACCCCACCGAAGTACTGTAAACCAGGGTACTCAGCCTGCTAAAACTCCAACAAAACAAGTCATAGAGAGTCCCGTGGGCAAAAAGTCTTTACGCCAAAAAATTGTGGATGAACTGAAACATTATTACAATGGATTCCACTTGCTTTGGATTGACACCAAGGTGGCTGCCAGGATGGTGTGGAGGCTGTTACACGGTCAGATCCTCACTAGGAGGGAGAGACGAAGGGTAAGTGCCAGACATACGAACACCTTGCTAAAAAGATGCTTTAAGAGGCTTGCTGTAATGAAAGAATTTTAACCGCTCTGTTTCCACACTTCTTTGGAACACATTTTTTTGTGTGTCTGGCTGAATAGTAATATCTGCTGTGCTCTTCTCTGTACAGTTGCTGAGAACTTGTGCAGATCTCTTCCGGCTGGTGCCCTTCCTGGTGTTTGTCATTGTCCCCTTCATGGAATTTCTGTTACCTGTGTTCTTGAAACTCTTCCCTGAAATGCTGCCCTCGACGTTTGAGACAGAGTCAAAAAAGGTTTGTGTCCTTTCTGAAGATGTAGACTGTGCACTCCAGCTCAGTAGAACATGTGTACAGCTGCATAAAGAGCTGTTGTTTCCTGCCTGCTGCTGTAAATGAGTATCAGCCTCACACACACGTCTAGGTCAGACATTCCTAGCTTATTCCTATACAGGACAGCAGAATTTGAAGACTGTGTTGTAAACAGTGATTGGTAGGAAAGTGCGCAGCAATTTCGTTTTCTACACTAACCAAAGCCTGTTTGCTTTCAGTACTGAAGTCTTACTTCATCTCTTTCCCAGAATCCCCTCCCTTCTGATTTTCAAGTGGAATTTCTAATTGTTTTATTTCCTAAATGAAGGAAGAAAAGCAGAAAAAGAAATTAAATGCAAAGCTGGAATTAGCAAAGTTCCTGCAGGAGACCGTTGCAGAGATGGCCAAAAGGAACAAAGCAGATACAGGACAAGGAAAACAATTCTCTTCTTACGTGCACCAGGTAAAATGGGCTGCGCTGGGGATGACAGCAACAGTAGTTACACCAGTTTAGTGCTGTCATTTTGGGCAGAGAATATGGGATTTATACAAAGATTGCAGAGAGTTTTGACAGCACAGAGCTGTCAGGTGTTACTTTTCACTGGATACATTCTTGCAGCTAATACCCTACTGACACTAGCTTTTGACCCCATCTGTCAGACCAGCAATTTCATCCTGGAACAATAGTGAAAGTTTTACCCTGTGAAATCCTTTAAGTGGCCACTTAAGAGCACTGCTTCACTTTGGCCTTTTAACTGTATCATTTTGTTTCCATCCAGAGATACAAATACCAGCCTGAGAAACAGGAAGGGCTTCTTCCTTAGAGGAGGAAGAGGATTCACAAACTGTGATTCTCTTCAGGTTTGGCTTTTGCCCTGATGCCTGTGCTTTGTTTAGATTCGTCACACCGGCCATCAGCCCAGTACCCAGGAGATCGTACGCTTCTCCAAGCTCTTTGAGGATGAGCTGACCCTGGAACACTTGGAACGGCCGCAGTTGGTAGCTCTTTGCAAATTGCTTGAGCTGCAGCCCATTGGCACCAACAATCTGCTCCGCTTTCAGCTGCTGCTGAGACTCAGAACTATCAAGGCAGACGATGAAGTAAGTTTAAAATAGCACAGATATAACTTCTGTGGTGGAACGCACGCTTTTCGCAATCTCAAGTTCTGCCCTCTGAATCACTGCCTGCTGTACGTAAGGCATGTGTCACAGCCCACACTCCCTCCTCAGATGCAAAGTTAATATTGATGGGAGTTGGATTCTCCTCATGAGAGATTCCAGAAAAAAACAGAATCAGAGTTCATCCTTCTGCACCCTTGCTGCCTTTGGTGAACCCTGACAAGTGTGGCACTGCAGATATTGTCACTTTAGAACACCCTTATATTTTTATTCTGGAGTCATATGAACTTGTGAAAAAGGGAGGTTCCAATTTTGGAATAAATATTGTATGGAAACACCAGATTTTAACCAACTGAATTCAGTATGAGTGTATATTAGTTTATAAAGTGGCTGGATTTATTTAGCCTGGAGGCGGCCAAGGGAGAATCTGCTTGCTGTTTTCAACTGCCTAATGGGGTTATTTAGAAAATGGAACCAGACTTACAGGTGCATAGTGAAAGGACAACAGGTAGCGGTCATAAGTTGCAGCAAGGGAAATTCCAACTTGATAAGAAAAAATATTAAAATCAGTGAGGGGGTAGACAGAGGAACAGGTTGTCTAGAGGTTGTGAAATCCCCATCCCTAGAGAGGCTCAAAGCATAAATGGAAAAGGCTGAGCAATGTAAAGAAACTTTTAAGTCAACCATCTTTTGGACAGGAGGTTGGACTGGGGACATCCACAAGTCCCTTCCAGCCTAATTTTATGATTGTGTAGGAAATGTAATTTGAAATGGTGTTAAGAATCCTATTACGACACAGAAGAAAGACCGGAAGACTTCTTGCTAGTTAAGAGGTGACCAGTACTGAAAGGCATGTGCAACTAACCACAGGTTCAGCTTTAAAGCCTGCAGTCTTGACTCAGGGTCTCAGGGTCACCTGCCTTTGAGTGAATTCTTCAAACCTGTAGGATCACATGTAAAAGTGAAATTCTCAGTACTTGGGGCAGGGGGGAAACAAAATAATCAGGACCAAAGTTTTTCATCCTCTGTAGCTGAAGACTGTCAGCTTTTAAGGACAGAAGAAATTGTCTACAAAGTCAGTTCTGTCTCATCTTTGTATTGGTATGACTTTACGCACATTTACCTAGACAGACAGTTCTTTGGGCTGAAGCTCATCAAGTACGTCAGGGTTTTGGCTTACTCTGTGCCTAGATAGGAACATTCCTTTTCATTTCAGATGATTGCCAAGGAAGGAGTCAGTGGCCTAAGTGTGTCTGAACTGCAGAGTGCGTGCAGAGCCAGAGGAATGCGGTCATTGGGTCTCTCGGAGGAGCAACTAAAGGAACAGCTCAGACAGGCAAGTATGCTTTGGTCTGGTCTTGTTTGACAAGGTTCTCCTAGGACAGAGTGGCATGCAGTGTTCAGATAGAGCAGGCACGATTTCACTAAGAATTAATGCAAGTGTTTCTAGGTGGATCCTCACCTGCATAGCTGAGCATTAAGACATGAAGTATCCAGATTATGTCTTAGACTAAAGAGAAAACCCAAGAAGTAGCATCAGGGCCAGCTAGAAGCAAGATGAAGTGTGGGGGGGTAGAATATGTTTTAAGCTTCTAAAGTAGCCAAGACTTGTAGCAGGGCCAACTCTAGCCTTTTGTAAGCATTCAAACAGATTACAGATACTGCTGTAGATGCTGTATCTCACATAAGCTGTAGGCAATTCGAAGTACTTAGCTTTCACTGTTGGCTCTTTGTCAGCAGTGATGTTGGTAACTCACTAGTAGCTGGAAACTTCCTCTCTAGTGTGTATTTCGTATGGTGTGCTTAACTCTTCAAAACTATTTCTTCTCATTGTGGTAACTTAAAACTGTATTAGCCAAACTCAAGATAGCTTTAAGATCTTTGAGGACAAAGAGTGCTATATAAAAAAGTACTGACATAGAGCCAATATGAAATAACTTTTCCTTCTGTTTTCGTCTAACAGTGGCTGGATCTGCATTTAAAAGAGAATGTTCCACCTTCTTTGCTCCTGCTTTCCCGTGCCTTGTACTTGATAGATATAAAGCCACAATCTGTTCCAGTTCCACAAAATAAGGTGAGTTGTTTGAATAAATCTTTCAGGTTAATAGTTTAACCATTAACACGTTATAGAAATGAAGCCCTGTGATATGAATCTTGTTCTTTGATCCTCCAAGTGGACTGGAGTTATAACTGTGCTGAACTATATGTTCTTCTGTAGATAGGTGAAACTGCTGAAATCATGACATCCGTTCTCGAAGGTCAAGAGACGCTAGTGGATCCTGCCCCCATTGTACAGGGAAGAAAGGTAAGAAAATAGCAGTCTGCAAGTGGGAAAATGAGTGTGCTGTAATCTTTGGGAAGAGCGCGTGAACAAACCTTTCCAAAGCTAGACAAAACCCAATGTTTGACGCCATTGCACAGAGCACATAAGCAATGTATATTCTTGCATTGTGTACATGTTTTTGCCTGAGAGCTTCACAGCTGCATACTCTGGCTTAAGAGACAATGAAAGGGCCCAGAGATCTGCTATGGCACATCTTGTCCTTTTGCTGGAAACAGCTCGTTATTCAATACCATGTTACGGGCCTCCCACAGAGGAGCACTCACAAGCTTCTAAGTTGCTTTATTCACATAAATACAGAGACTTCAATCCACGTACATTTAGCTCAGAGGAAGCCAGTTAAAGGTGACTTGTTTTCAGCAGTCCTAGTGAACTTGGGCTGAGTTGTCCAGGACAAAAAAAGCCAAAATATCTAGAGTAAGAAAGCCAGAGCATATGGTTCTCAGCATAAGGCTGAAGTGAATTGCTTAGATTAGTCCAAGCTGATAAAAGCAGCAACAGAAGTTAAAGGAGAATATTGTGTCTACTGCTAGAAGTATTTCCAAATAGCTCTGTTCAATTGCGTAGGGGAAATGATGGCAATGCCGACATACAGCTTTCACAAACATGGATTGCAGGGAACAGCCTCATTCAGAAAGGAGAAGTGACTGAAGGGGATCTAGCTAGAGCTTTGTTTTCTGAGAGGGTTCTGTGACTTAAAGCTGCTTTTTCCTTAAAGAATGAAGAATTTGTATCTCAGCCAACAGAGAAATTGCCAGTCTCAGAAGTGTCAGTTAAGCCTCCCCCACGAGAGGTAAGCTTTTCAAAATTCTTAGACTTTCCAAAGGAGATAGTTCTTCACACAGCTTGGAGACAGACTGTGAAAATTTGTGCTTCAAGATGGTGTGAATGTGAAGTTCAAGGAGCGACTGGAGGGATTTTGGATGAGAACTACATTGAGGGCTGTTAAATACAAAAATACCATGTGTGACTGAGAGACTGCAGTCAAATCGGGGAAGGTAGCAGACCATTGTGGGGAATTACCAGTATGTCCTTTCCTTGTACTCTTCCGTGATAATCTGCTTTGGACCACTAGGCTAGACCAGCCTTCCCTCAGAACCACCACAGTGTTAAGTGCTATTTTTTATCTGTAAAAGTATTTCTACAGTGACTTGCCTTTCTTTTGCCTATTTTCCTTTGTGAATATTTTATTTCAATTTACCTGCTTATGTATACATCTAGGACATCCACTTAAGGCAAGTTTGGGAGTCCAGACTGACTTTTATCAACAAGAGAATGCTTCTTTACCCTGAAGAACTTTGTTCTTAGTCAGCTGTTATTCTCTATAGCAGCTTCCCATAGTAACTGGGAAGATACCTTCTTCAAAACAAGTTTTGAATGTCAAGAAGCATTTGTATTGGTACTGCCTAAAATCTGTAACTTTCTCTTACACCTAGACTAAAATGGAAGCATCTCAGAGCAGCAAGGCCGGCGCCAATGGAGTCTAGCCTGAAACCAGCAAGGACTGTCATAACAGTGGGAGAGAAGAGCTTTTGTCTCTGCACCTCCTTAAAAAGAAAGAGTGACTTTCCAGGAGGCTGCTTTACACAAAAAGGTGTCAGTAGCCCTCAGGGGCCGCTCTATCTATTCCAAGCTTATTAGCAACTAGGCCATGCTAAGGCTATCTGGATGGCACCGGCTTCTCTTTGGTACCAGATCCCCTGCCCCCAACATTTTAACTTATGTTGTAAATATGTTAATAATGACGCTACTGTCTGTGCTGTTACTGAAGAGGTGTTTGTGCTCTTAAGCCTTAGGAAAGGCAGCTTTTCATTGTCATAAAAGCCTGGGTGCAGAATGAGCTAGGCTGGAAGTCCGGTAAAGCCTGTTCTACAGTTTGAAATCCTCTGCAGGAACATACCCACACATCCAGGGCTTGCAGCTTGTCCTGCTGCCGCAGCTTTACAAGCTCAAGCTCTTGATCCTAGTTAGCGTGGTTTAACCAATAACTAGCACACAGAATGACCCGTGTAGCCATTGTATTTCACGGTCGCGTTTGTACCAAGGAGAATAACCACAGCAAAGGGAGGACCATCGCTCTCCTCAGTGGTGTGGTTGAACTTAACTGGTCAGAAAGACTTGTGAACTTGCTGGACAAAAGCAGAGCAGCAAAGAGGACAGCTTCCACTGCGTGAGTGGTTGCATTCATCAGTAAGAGCTGCATCGGGGCCAGACACTGTTATAGAAGGCAGAGACTTGCATTTTTAGGATCTCACTGGGTCCTGTGAGGTGGCAACCTGGGGACCCACACACATTGCCCAAGTCTGATGTCAGACTTCGCTGAACCTCACCAGGCTCAGAACTACGCATCAGCAAGTGCTCTCAGACTTGCTATACTTTACAAAATGATTCTCCACACACTCCAGTGTTGACTGTTTTTTTGGTAGACTCTATAGGAGGATACTGAAAAGCTGTTTTTAGCATTTGTTAATTTTTTACTTTGTCCTATGTAAATGTTCAGAAATTACTCACATTATGGGTTTTAAATATGTATATTTATACTTACTGTAAAATTAAAGTTAGACTTGGTGCTAAGTAGAATGATATGTCTTTTCTAGAGGTCAGACAGCCTTTAGAACAATCCAACTCAAAAAAAGCCAGTCATCTCAAGGTCAGGTGTTATCAGCACTTTAAACATGTGACTTCAGGCTCTTACTAGCAATGCAGAAACAGCTTGCAGAAGACAGCTACCGTCATACTGTGTTCTTAGTTCTGTACCTGCACCCCTGCCTTGTTAGTACAGCCAGTATGCAATGCTGAATATTTGTATTTAGCTGGTGGTTAGTAAATGAGAACAAATTTTATTTCAATAAAATAACCCCGTTGCTCAAGTGTTGCTCTTGCCTCTGCATAGCCCAGATGAGATGTTGCTGGCAGCCATTACTTTGCTGATGGGGCTAGAACAGCCTCTGGCTACTTGTCTATTTAACAGAAGCCTTGTCTCCTTGATAACACTGACAGTTGCTGTATTTGAACAGAGCTGGGACCAAACATCTGCAGAGCCCGCTTCGTCTAGAAAAGCATTTCACCCACTAAAGAGCTGAGTACAAATGTTGTTCAGTGCAAGATTTCACTGGTGTTGAGCACTGAGATTAGTGTGCAGGAGTAAAAGAATGCAAGTAATTTCTGTATTATGGCTAAAGCATGTAAATAGTGAGAGGGAATTCCTAAGTTCAAGGTGAGTTGGAAGAGCTATGCGAGGGAAAAGTCTCCCTGTTTTAAAGCACACAAACTGGGCTTGCAGAGCCAGCCTAGTTCACTAAACCGTATCAAAACAAGAGTGTCACAGACAGGAGGAAAGTTAGTATTTTTGATGAGGTAAGGAAGCTCGGTGTAACCGTGGATGGGATTTCTTGAAGTGCAAAAGAAAAGAAATGGCAGTGAAAAAAAGCTTGAATAACCTATTGCTGTGGGGACTGAGACAACTCCAGCCAAGCCATGCATTTAGGAACTTCTTATCTTCGAGCTGCTTACTGAAGCTGCCGTGTCAATTCAGGCGCCAAAGTTGCATGTGCTTTCATGGAGCTGCATGTGTAGCTTCGAGAGAAGTAGAAAAGCAGGTACCATTAGCCAAAGGGTCACTGCCACAGACCCAGCTCCAGAGACCTGCTCTGATCTGTTTGCAAATGGTATCAGCTATCCAACTGTGGATCCAGAGCTGACTCTGTAGGATGGATGGATAGACTGGCTAATGCTAATGCAATCTGAGGGATGATCCCTGTCCCACGCTAGCAGACACATACAACAGTTCCATGGCCATGGATGATTTTTCCAGCTCTGCCACACTACCCCAAACCCCTGTTCTTTGCCAGCAGTTTACATTACCAAGGCACATGTTCTTCTAGCACAACGTGAAGTTAATTAACCTCCCCACAAGTCATGCAAATAAACCTCCGCCGCTGCTTTCCCTAAGCTGGAAACCACGGCTGGTATCGCAGCAGAGGCCGGGCTATGCCGGGCTCCTACAGGCTCTGCCCGCAGCCCGCCCAGCACGGCTGCCGGCACCTGGACGCCCACCCTTAACCCCTGTCCCGAACACGCGTGGGGCGGGCCGGGCCCCCACCGAGCCACGGCCGCGGGCTGCCAGCCCTCCCAGTGCCACTTCCCACCGGCAGATAGCAGCACCGTCCAGTTCTTTCACCGAAAAAAAACCCCAAAATGGGCTTCGCGGAGCGAACACGCCTTGTCTGGGAACACAGCACCCTGCTCGCCCACCCCCAGCCCAGTACATGCCTGGGGTGGCAGTGGGCAGGGCTGTTGACCCATGGCCCGAGAGCCGAGGCTCTGCAGGGCCAGGCCCAAGGCTGCAAAGCCCTTTAAAAACAGATGCAAAAACCTTGCCCGTCCTGCCTGCTCGTACCGCTCTCGGTGGAGCCCCTCGAATTTAAGGCAGGATCCTGCCCGCGGGTATAAGTGTCGGTCAGCAACCAGTATTAAAAACACCGAGATCTTGCGAAGACAAGTCAGACTGGGAACGGCACTGGGACCTCGCTTGCTCTTGCTGCTCCCCAGTATCTGGGGCTACCTGAGCCAGCGTGGAGGGCAGACAGCCCTGTGTGCAGCTCTCCTCCGGCTCACGCCTGGCCAACAGCCCTGTTGGGTTCAAGCTCCAGCTCCCCAAGCAACACATAAAAGCCACATGTACGAGGCGCGTTGCGAGCCCTTTCTCATTTTAAAGAGCTGGCTGCAGCCCTGTAACAACAGAGCAGCACATGGAGAGTCTGGTCCTCGCACGCAACCTTCCAGTAACAAACCAACGTCTGTGTCGGGGAAGGTGAAGTTTGGTTGAGAATTTGTTTGTATTTCCAGGGGCAATTAAGAGCCACAGGAGGGAGCGTTACCCAGAAATGCCCTCTCGACAGAGCCCCTCTGAAGGCACCCATCACCGCTGAGGAATTTCAAATTCCCAGAATCAGCCATTCACTAGCGCAGGGTAATGAAGTGTTTTCAGCACCAACCAGACTTCAAAGGTTTCTGTTTTCTCCACGCCTGCAGCAGCAGCAGCTGAGCTTCAAAGCTCAGACCCCAGCCCTGCTTCCAGACCCGTTCCAGCCAACAGAAGCAAAACAAACCCACTCGGACTTGCGTGCTGCAGAGCCGGCCCCACGCTTTGCAGTGCTGCCCGTGGGCAGGGCAGGCAGGGGGGAGATGCTGCCTGCAATCGGTGGGGCGCAGGCGGGTTGGAGATGGGCTCCCCAAGGCTCCCACGCACGTGTGGGCATCACCACCCCAGTTGCTGCTCCTGCAGCCTGCCTGGGAGCCAGTGCCAGAGCCGTGCCCGGCCCCAGGCCCCCCAAAAGCGAGCCCCTGTGCAAGCATCACCAGCACAGACACGTTTCCTCCGCACCTAACCACTACTCTCCTTGCAGCCCATGGAAGCAAGCCTGCCTGGTGCAGCGAGTCCGGCAGGTACCTTCTGCACAGCAGCAACAAGCTCATCTTTCCTCTGCCTCAATGCTGCATCCGACACGGACCAGTGCACCAGCAGCACTAACAGCTGAGCAGGATCAGGCCATCAGTTTCTCGGTGTAAACAATCCAACAGGGACAGGCTTGGAAAAGCTGATTTCGAACCGGTACAAACACTCTGTTGCAAACCTGAGGATGCATGAGCCTGCCTGGTCATGGATTGCAGGGAGGAATATGTACTGCTTTGTTGCAGCAGCCCTCAAGGCTGCGTGCAGCCGTGTGCCCGGGCAGGGTAAGCCATGCCACCCCTGGGAAGGGCTGTTAGGGAGAGACAGGAGCACGGAGGAGGAAGGGATTTTCTGTCCTTGCTTCTGGAGCTGTAGAACCAACACTCTCCTGTTCTCTAACCTGCCTACACGGAGGTGAGTCACTAAAGCAGAATTATCTGGGGTGTCTGAACACCTGACTCTGGGAACAAGAGTTTTGAGTAATAGCACATGCCCACAGCCCTCTGGAGAGGCAAGGGCTGCGCACTGCGTTTCTCAACAGCCAGCAACGGGAGTTAACAGCAGCAGTTCACCAGCAACATTTCCAGAGAAACCCCTGCTGCCAGCAGCTGAGCTATTTGGGCAGAGGCAGGAGCGAGCAGCTGCGGGGAGAAAACCCCTCTCATCCCATTTCACAGCCTCAGTTACACAAAAAAATAATCCATTCCCTGGAGAACAGCAATATAATAACAAGAGCACACAGCCCCAAAGCTGGGGAACACTTACCGGTGGTGTCCAGGATGCTCTGGGGGCTGCAGGCTATAGGGCAGGAGCCCTTCTCCTGCTCAGGGTTTAAATGGATCCACCTGCCCCCCCAGCACAGGGCTCTCTGGGGGTGGCTCTGCCTCCCCAGGGGCTTCTGGCAGAGCCAGGGGGTCCTGGGGTTGAGGATGGGAGCAGGGCTTTGCTTTTGGAACCATTCCTGCTTTGCAGACAGCGGGGGAGCGGTGGGGGGGGCTCAGCATCCTGGGGTGCACCCAGCCTGGGAACCGGAGGAGACACCCCCCCCGCCAGGGGTCCTGCTCAGAGCACGGCGGTCCTGGGGGGCAGCGGGGGGCTGTGACAACGTGCAAATCACCGACAGCTCATGGGTCAGGTCACCCAGCAAACGAGGTTGATCCTGCCCCCAGGAGAGGGAGAAATGCCTCCATCCTGCCCACACACACTCGGAGCATGGGGGGGGGTGTTGCTGGGGCTGCCCCAGGCTGATGTCCCAGTCCCTGGGGAAGGGCTGCTGCAGACCTGCCCCTGTGCACATCTCGGAAGCGCTCCACAGGCCTCGTCCCTCTGGAATGCTCCTCTCTGGGGATGCTGCACGGTTCAACCCCCAACCCTCGGTCTGCCCTGCAGTGATCTGCCCCACGCAGCCAGTGGACTGGCATACCGGGAGATCCACCCGTGGCCACACAGAGGGTTTTTCTCCCCCCTCCTGACCGCTGCAGACCTCTCTGCCCCAGCTCCCAGCACCCAGAGAGGCTGTTTGCTCCTGCCCTGGTACAGATGGGAGTCAGGACTCAGTTGGGGAAGAACAAGCTCCGCCAGCGAGCCCTTTGGCCACGGAGGGGCAAAGATATGTGCCCCCCCTCCCAGGGCTGCTTCGGCTCTGCCAGGCTCGCGGGAAGAGGATGCCAGCCCCAGAGAGAGCCCAGCTGGCACCTGGGGAGCCCACATCACCCCCGAGCTGCTCTGCCTCCCCATCTCGGGGTGGGATCCCCTCCCACCGCTGGGCTCTGCACTGCACGGTGCGATGGCAAGACTGGCCGGGTGACAAGCACCGTGTTATTCTGGCAGCCTGGAAAGTTTTCAGGGTGTTTGGAGAATTTGAGTTGAATTTCAAATTGTCAGGGGCTTTTCCTGTCTTGGTGCAAGAGGTAGGCAGAAAATTACTGAGATAATACCCTTAATTGCCTGCAAACAGGTAATGTTGCCTTGAAAGACTGCCACTCTGATAGTCCTTAAATACATCGTAAGAGAACATCTTACACCACGTAATACAGGTAATGAGGGAAGTCATCTTCTCCCGCCTGGTGTTCCAGGCCTGCGACTGCTCCAACTTCTGAATGCGACTGAACTCTTCCTGGCAGTATTTAGCAACCAGCTAGGGAAGTTTGAGGTTAAATGATCAGGTAATAGCTCCTTCGGTGGCTGCTTTGCCAGCTGGGCTCAAACAGCCCAGAGACGAGCAGCAGCTTTGTCCAAAAGGTCCGGCAGCCCTTGAGCATCATGTGCTGCATGAGAGATGCCTTCTGGCTGGGGATGGGTCCGTCTGCCGGGGTCAGGCGTCCCCCCAGCCCTGCAGCTGTCTGAAACTCACCCACTGCTGCCATTCTTAAA